TGTGTGTGTGTGTGTGTGTGTGTGTGTGTGTAGAAATGAGGGGGTAGGGAATGCTGTTTGTAGAGCATTTAAATTTGCCAAGAATGAGCCCAGCCTATCTTGGGGAAACTGTGACAAAGCCAGTCTGTTGAAAATGAAGAGTTCACTCAGTCATTCAGCAAACAGTTCTTGAGCACCTACAATGTGCCAGGCACTGTGTGAGGGGTTAGGAATACAGACATGAGTAAGATACAACCCAGCCTTCAAATGCTTCCCAGTCTTGGAGGAGGGGGTTGGGGGTGGGGTGGGGGTTGGCAGGGAGGGGAGAGACAGGGCAGGCGGGGAAAAGACGTGTGCCATATAAGCTAGACATGTGCCAAAAGGCTTAAGAAGGGTCTGGAGAAAGAGCTGAGGGTGCGTAGAGGGAGAACTGTTGGGGAATGTGAGAGAGAAGTTGAGCAAGGCTGGTCAGGCCTCACCAGGCAGTGAGAGGAAGAGGACAGGGGATGGGGTGAGCAGCGACAATGAGGAGATCCCTGGCAGAGGACAGCAGCTGGGTCATGTCAGTGACCAGGTGAAGCCCGGCCACACTCGTCGGTTGCACAGGGACTCTCCGGCCAGGATCAGGTGCCTTCAGAAATGAGCCTTCTGGAGGACTAACAAGGCAGCTGTTTTCTGTGTTTTCAGGCAACTTCCAGGAAACGCTTATGGCATGCATCTTTCTTTTAACCCCCAGGGACCTTGTCATAGAACAGAATAGGAAAAGTGGTCATGCTCTCACCCTTTCCGCATAAAGCTTCCTTCAGGGTCAGAATTCACTCTTAGAAGTTTTCACGGAGTACCTCCCACGTGCCAGACCGTGTCTGAGGTGCTGAGGACACAGCTGTGAATAAAATCCCTGACTTCATGAAGCTCCCATTCAAATGGGGGCTGCAGACACAGCCAAGGAATAAAAAAGAGACAGACAAAATGCCAGGGGGTGAGGTGTGAGGGAAAGAAAGCAGGGAACGGCAGAGGAGGCTGGGGAGGGTGACTCTGTGTGGGATGCTCTGATGGAGTGACATGGAGCCAGCATGTGAAGAGGGAGGGGTGAGCCGGTGGCTGGGGGCAGAAGAAACTGTCTGAGGTGGGACAGTGCTCAGGTGTTCTAGAGCCAGCAGGGGCCAGTGCCACTGGAGTAGATGAAGCAAGGGAAAGGGGAACCGGAGGGGCCAGGGCTAGCTCCTGTAGGGAGCTTTGGCTTTCCTCCCACCTGAGGTGGGACCGTATGACAGTAGGAGCAGACACGTGTCAGGTCCAGGGTACCGCGTACGATGCCTTGGGGACAGAATGTGGGAGACTGGGCCAGCCGGGGAAACCAGTAGGAGACCACTGCAACCGCCCAAGAAACGACGATGGTAGCTCGGCCCAGGGTGGTAGCAAACAGACGTTGGGAGATGATCTTATTCCAGAGATATTTTGAAATCTGAAAGAATTTGCTGATGGATTAGATGTGAGAGAGAATGACTGGTCGAGGATGAGTCGACAGATTCCGAGGACTTGGGCCAGACTAACTGGGAAAACTGCCATGTATTAAGACAGGGGGACTTCTTGAGGCTGGAATTCAAAAAATGTGATTTGGGACATATATAATTTGAGGTGGCTATTAGGATACATGAGCCCTGAGTTCAAGGGAGAGGCCAGAGCTGGGGAACAGTAGTTATTAAAGTCAGAACAGGCAATTAAAACCACGGGACTGGGTGAGGTCACCCAGGCAGTGGGAGCAGGCAGGGTACGGTCGTCAGGGCAGGGAGGGAGAGGGGAACCAGGAGAGAGTGGTACCTTGGAAGTCAGCTGCTGCCAAGAGGGGAACTAAGCTAAGGAGTATGGCTAACCCTTGGACTTGGCAATGTAGACCAATGGGGACCTTGACAGAAAGGTGGGGAGGGAAGCCTGGTGTTCCCATCGGGGTTCAAGGGAAAATATGGGAAGAGAGGATGAGAAGATGAAGAGTGGACATCTCTTTTAAGGACCTCTGTGTAATGTGCAGTTAAAAACGGAATTGGAGGGGGGCGCCTGGTGACTCAGTGTGACTCTTGATCTCAGGGTTGTAAGTTCAAGCCCCACGTTGGGTATAGAGGTTACTTAGATAGCTAGATAGATGATTGATAAATAGATTGATCTATCAATAGATAGATAGGTAAATACTTTAAAAGTGAAATAGAAGGAAGATATCATTTCACAATGTTAGGCACTAGAAATGAACCAGCTGAGAGGAAAAAATTATTCATGCAGAGAAGAGAAGCAGGGACCCTGTAGGATGTGTCTCTGTTGTTGAGAAGGGAGGAGAACCAGTGCACATGTGCAGGGTTGGCCTGGGGCTGGGGGGCAGCTCACCGGTTGTCAGCAGACGGCGGTCGGAGGCCATCGTGGGTGGATCTGTTGATGGAACAAGTGAATGTTTTCTTCTGACTGCTAATCTTAGCCGTCTGCTGTTTGTATGTAGTTTGTATGGTGCTGTTTTCACCAATTCTAAGGTGCAACTTTTTCATATTCTAACACCTATGAAATTGGAATAAATCTTTTTTAAAAAGATTTTATTTATTTATTCATGAGAGACCCACAGAGAGAGGCAGAGACACAGGCAGAGGGAGAAGCAGGCTCCATGCAGGGAGCCAGATGCGGGACTCGATCCTGGGATCCCGGGGATCCCGTCCTGAGCCAAAGGCAGATGCTCAACCACTGAGCCACCCAGGCGTCCCATAAATCTTATTTTTAAAAAAGATTTTACTGGGATACCTGGGTGGCTCAGTGGTTCCGCACCTGCCTTCCACCCAGGGCATGGTCCCGTAGTCCCAGGATCGAGTCCCACATCGGGCTCCCTGCATGGAGCCTGCTTCTCCCTCTGCCTTTGTCTCTGCCTGCCTCTCTCTCTCTCTCTCTCTGTGACTATCATAAATAAGTAAAAATTTATTTAAAAAAATCAATGGGCCATTTAGTTGTTAGTATTTACACTCAACTCTTGAACAATATGAAGGTTAGGGGCACAGACACCCATCCCTCACATAATCAAAAATCCTTGTATAACTTCTAGATCCCCCCAAAACTTAACTATTAATAGCCTTATGCTGACTAGAAGTCTTACAAATAACATAAACAGTTGAGTAACATATATTTTGTATGTCCTATGTATTACATACTGTATTTTTACAGTAAAGTAAGCAAAAGATAATGAGAAAATACATTTACAGTGCTATGCTTTATCTAAAAAAAAAAAGATTATCAAAAAATGTTTGTCTAAGTGGACTCACACAGTTCAAACCTGTGTTGTTCAAGGGTCAACTGTATTCTTTCTCAGCACTGCATACAATAGAGAAGAATTTATATCAGAGGCAACTCAGATTCAGGGGGCGATGGTTGTCACTTTCCCTTGGGCCTAACTAGACTTGTCTTTTGGGGAGGGCCCTGATCCAAGCAGCGCCCTGCAAATACTGTTCACCTTGTGAGCCAAAGGGGAGATGTCAACATTTTCAGTAAGAAACTCTGGGCTAGAGCTACCTCTCTGGTACAGATGTGTCCCACCCAAACTTCTGAAGAAGGGTGCAGGTGCCTGGAGAGTAGCGGGAAGGCTGGCCCTCTGCCCACACGCTACACACCTGTCTGGGCTGCAGACGGTTCTTCCTCAGAGGAATAGGAGAGACCAGGGACGAGGCAGCCAAGTGTTGGCCCACGTCTGAACCCGGGCAGTGAGGCCTGACTCAGAGACCAAGTGGTTCCTTCAGTCAGATAAGATCTTGGCCTCAACATCCTGTACGGTGAAGACAAGGAGAAGTCCAAGGGTCTGAGAACAGGGAACTGTGTCACCGCATAGCTCTTGGGGATTCTTCAGCTTTACTGACCGCTAGCAGGGGGGCTTTTACTTTTTGGGTGAGTACAGCTGGGGTCCCAGTCCCCCTTTTCTGTAGCTGAGGTGTAGGAATGGTTTGGGAGGTTGTCTCTGTCCTCCCAAACCATTGATGGCTTAGCATACATTGTGGCAGCTGATCACTGTGTGTGCCCTGCGAGCGAACCCAGACAGGCCCCTGCTCTCTGAGCTTATGTTGAGTCAGGGAGATGTAGTAATAAAGTAATCATATATGTGTTTATTTATTTATTTTAATATTTTATTTATTTATTCATGAGAGACCCAGAGAGAGGTAGTGACACAGGCAGAGGGAGAAGCAGGCTCCATGCAGGGAGCCCGACGACTGGATCCCGGGACTCCAGGATCGCACCCTGGGCCAAAGGCAGGCGCCAAACCGTTGAGCCACCCAGGGATCCCCCGCTTGCATTTCTAAAGTGACTCTCATTTCAGAATTAACTGGGCCCAACGGGCGAGGGGGGTATACATAACAGGGCTGTAGGGCTGGCAGGACAAAGCTGGGATTATCTGTGCTTTAGAGTCCATGCTCTTGGGATGCCTGGATGGCTCAGCAATTGAGCATCTGCCTTCAGTTCAGGACATGACCCTGGGGTCCCAGGATCGAATTCCGCATCAGGCTCCCTGCCTGGAGCCTGGTTCTCCCTCTGCCTGTGTCACTGCCTCTCTCTGTGTCTCATGAATAAATAAATAAAATCTAAAATAAAATAAAATAAAATAAAATAAAATAAAATAAAATAAAAGAGTCCATGCTTTTCACTCTATCTTTCTCCCTTTCAAAGAAGGAAGATAAGACAGCCTCAGATGCAGTGACCTCAAGAATCAAGACCTGAATCCCTGGACACACCTGCTTGCCGTCATTGGGCTCCAAAGCCAAAAATTGGCCTGACTTTTTTTTTTCCCCTAAGAAATAAACATCAAATTTCTTCCTAGAGTACAAAAATTCAAGGAAGCTTCTGATAACGCAGGCACATAGTGGTACAAGGAACACAACCACTGTAAGGTTAGGACTTTGGCGTCTGTGTCTGAATGTGCTACTGAAACAGGTTATTTCTAACACAAGGGCAATACTAGTCTCTATTTCGTAAGAAATAGTGAAAGTGAGTTAATAACTCAACATATTGTGCTCATTTGGGCAGCATGTATACCAAAAATTTGAACAATGCTGAGATTAGCATGCCCCCTGTGCTAAGAAGACATGCAAATTTGTGAAGTGTTCCATATATAAAAAAATAAAAATAACAAAACTAATTTGACATGTATCCCATTATTATTATTACAATTTTTTTTTTCTTTGCAAAATCACTACACTTTCTATATTGGATCAGTAATAGAGAGAGCCGAGACTTTGGCGAGTTTTGTAAATAAAATAGATTTTGGCTTCAGCTGGGATAGAAAAAGATTCGGTCCCTTGTAGAGCCTGGCGGGAGAGGTGCCAGGGTTCAGGAAATCAGGGGCCTCCTGGGCTCCGGGGCTGGGGGCTGGGGGCTGGGGGCTGGGCGTTCTGTACCAAGGCCTTCACCTTCAAATGCTAAGGAAGGTCACAGATGGGAATCAGCAGGCCCCACTACTTCCCGCAGCGGCCCATCCCCGCAGCCCATCCCTGCGGCCCAGGCCCACCCGCGGCCTCCCAAGGTTTCCCAGACCCTCCCTCCTCCACATTTCCAGAGCTGTGGTTAAACCGCTGTGGCTCTTGTCTCTGGTTCTGTGTGGCCCTCCGTCATCTTGCGCTTCAAATCCGAAGATGCTCTCCTCGCTGCCTTTCACGGGCACCTGTCATTTCCTAATTTGGGGGGGGGGGGTGATGCAGGCACACCGCGGCTTCTACCATCCCCCACCAAGCCCAAAGCACCTCTGCGGTGCTCCCAGGGGTGAGGCCTAGTTCTTTGAACACAAAGGTCTTGTAAGGTAGGTAGTATTGTCCCCATGGGGACCGAAGACCCAGGGTGAATGAGTGACAGAGCCAAGATTTAACCCAGGCCCGGGGGACTCCCTGGCCAAGACCATTCCTCCTGACTACACAACACTTTAAAGGTAGGAGAGACATGTCTGTTTTTTAGATTTTATTTTTAAGTAATAGCTACACCCAACATGGGGCTGACCTTCCAACCTGAGATCAAGAGTCCTGTGCTCTACCTCCTGAACCAGCCAGGAGCCCCTATAGGCAGGAGACATTTCTGATTGAAGGACTGATAGGGCAATTGCGTCAGGATGAGAGCGGGCTCCATGGAGGTCCTGAGAGACAGAGTTACTTGACAGAGACCTCAAATCCGGCCTGTTTCAGGGCCACAGCTTCTCTCCCAAGGCCTTGGTGGGACTTGTTCCCTGACACTAACAATCAATAGCTTTCAGGACCCCAGGGTGAGAGCACACTCGGGGCCCAGGGCAAGAGCACACTCAGGCTCAAGGGCAAAAGCACACTCGGGGTCCAGGGGCGAGAGCACACTTGGGGCAAAAGCACACTGGGGAGAGAGCACACGTTGGCCTTCAGTTCCTGCTCTGACAGGCCTGACCACTGTCAAGTGCTTCTTTGCACTTGACATGTGCAGAATTACTTTGTGGTGGATCGTTAGGAAGCGGCTGGCGCGCCCTCTCTCCCCGGGAATGGTGTGCCATCTCCAGCACGTTGGTCGAGTCCTGCTGGGCTGCAGAGGGAAGACAAAGTTGACTAGGGAGTATGGGATCATTCACCTGAGATCCGCTCTCACACCATCCACCGAGGTCAGTGCAGCCACAGGAATCATCCCCTGCGTGTGCGTGTGCAGAGTGCTCTTATGGTCACCTGAGGACCCTTACGCACCTTTTCTTCTTTCCTTGTCACAATCAATCTGTGGGATGTGCAGCTAGGATAGGATGTGGGGTCCTATCCTGTCACAGGGAAGGAACCTGCTACGGAGGCGGGGCGCTGTCGGCAGGTGGGCCCGAAGCTCCGAGGGTGCTCCGAGGAGCTCCGAGGCCTACCCGCCGCCGGCAGCGCCACCAAGGGGGACCCACGGCTACAGGAGAACCCACGGCTACTTGGGCACATGGGTCTGGATTTCGCACTCAAGTTATGCTGTGCAACTCCAGTTCCCCAGCTCGCAGGTTCTTCTCACCTCTGGGAAAAATCTTTTCCCTAGTCTGCAGCTTGAGTATGTGAATACTGGCGGAAGGGCAGGATTAGCAAAAATCTTTAAAAATCCTGACAGCCAGGGCCCCTGGCCGGCTCAGGCCCTAGGGCAGAGGACTCAGGTCTCGAGCTCGGGACTCTGAGCTCCACGTTGGGTGGAAGGCTTATGTAAAAACAAACACCAGGGATCCCTGGGTGGCGCAGCGGTTTAGCGCCTGCCTTTGGCCCAGGGCGCGATCCTGGAGACCTGGGATTGAGTCCCACGTTGGGCTCCCTGCATGGAGCCTGCTTCTCCCTCTGCCTGTGTCTCTGCCCCCCCCCCTGTGTGTGTGTGTGTGACTATCATAAATAAATAAAAAAAATTTTTTAAAAAATCTTAAAAAAAAAAAAAAAAAAACACCAGACATCATATGCTGTGGATGGAACTATAACTTAGTGCTCTGTCTTGGAAAGACAGTTTGATAATGATCATTAAAAGCTTCTCAAATGGGGCAGCTCGGGGAGCGGAAGGCGGTGGGCAGCGGTTTAGTGCCTGCCTGCGGCCCAGGGCGTGATCCTGGGGTCCCGGGATAGAGTCCCACGTCGGGCTCCCTGCATGGAGCCTGCTTATCCCTCTGTCGGTGTCTCTGCCTCTCTCTGTGTCTTTCATGAATGAATAAATAAAATCTTTTAAAAAATTTAAAAAAAAAAGAGAGGCCTTTGTCAAGGTATTGTATCTGTGTTACCTAAAACATAATAAACACCTGAAATAATCTGGATATTCAGCAGGTCCAATAAATTAAGATCCACAAGAAGATGAAATACTCCGCAGTGATCTTAAATGGAACTATGGGAGAATATTTAACAGTTTGAGGAAAGTTCACTGCTGTTGAGTGAGGAAAACCAAGTAACAAAATTTCAATCTGATTTTTATTTATTTTATTTTATTTTTTATGATAGTCAGAGAGAGAGAGGCAAAGACACAGGCAGAGGGAGAAGCAGGCTCCATGCACCAGGAGCCCGATGTGGGATTTGATCCTGGGTCTCCAGGATTGCGCCCTGGGCCAAAGGCAGGCGCCAAACCGCTGCGCCACCCAGGGATCCCTCAATCTGATTTTTAAAAAGCAGCTTGAAGTACAAAGCTCTGAGGAGTAGTTATCTCTGAACCCTTCCTCCGTCCTCCCCTCCTCTGCCTTCTTTTTGTATTTTCCAGTCTTTTTTTCAGTAAACTTAATAAGCATGTGTGGCATTTGTGATCAGAAAACAAAAACCTTTCTTTTTTTTAGATGAGACCGTAAGAATGAACCACTTTGGAACCACTGCAAGTGGTGAATGGAGCTTGCAGCCGAGACCAGAAGCAGAGAAGAGGAAACAACTAAGTCTATGAGCTGCTACATCAGAAAATAACTTTCATTTTTTTAAATTATTTTTTCATATTCTTGTATTAAGAGGTCTCTTTTCTTTTCTTTCTTTTTTTTTTTTGCCACTTATCTAAAGAGGTTATTGAGATGGATTTTATAAGAAACGTCAGCAATTAAGCTTCTTTGAAATTGGGCTGGTGCTTTCACCCCTCGTGGTTAGACCAGGTGAGCTCCCTCCTGACACTGAGAGCCTCTGGAGAGGAGCAGGGTGGCAACGTCTGCCTTTGGCACCACCCTCCTGTCCCACAGTAAGCGGGGCCCCTCCTACCCTGCACCGGGCTCTGTCCCAGAAGGCCTTGCTCCCCATGCTTTCAGCTCATTTGTCTGAGGTGTTTACTTTGATTTATAAATTAGAGGTAGAGGGGTCCTTAGAAGCCCCTGCTATGAGAAAGAGGAGGATGACCTATGCTTCTCATCGCTCCACACTCCTCTGTGTATCTCAGCTTGTCAGCAGTGGAGCACAGGAGTCTGGATGGTACCCAAAGACTGGGATGGTAATGGAGGTCGTTTAACTACCCAAAGATGCTTGGGACCCACAGAAATAATTTCAAATGGTAATTTCAAGCATTGTGACCAACTACTGTCTAGGCTTATGATCCCTGTGTGTGTTTGTATGTGTGTTTTGACTTTTTAGATTTTTGTTTCCGCCATTGAAACAATTGAAATTTTTTAAGGACAGGAGATATGGAGAATGTCAAACTGGATTAGAAGTGTGATTGGATGATGCGTCACTGAGAGGAGTGTGATGTCATGGGAAATATAGCCACAATCTCACTGTTCTGAAAAGAATGCTGTGGGGAGCAGAACTGGCACCCTGTACCTCATAAAGAGTCAGGTGATAACATCTGTACCTGTGATTACTTAATGAAATAAGCACGTGATGAGGTGATGGGGGTGATGGGGCGAGGCTTGGAGGATAGTCATTATGACACATGGTGTTTAAAAAGATGGGAACAGTTGATTGGAAGGGCTGAGTGCTCACTTGGGCAGCACTTGTAGTAGGAGTTAATTCCTCTTCTCTTCCCTTTTCCTTTCCCTATTTCTTCCACCTACAACTCCAACCAGATTTATTCTTCTCTTTTGGTCCCCCAAAGGCCATCCTGCCAATCTCAGTGCTATCAAGCTAGATTGAGAATGGATAGTTTAGTCTTTAGTGGCTTCAGGATGAAAGTTCAAAGTCTTCTTCATAGTAAACATAAACCCTTTATAGGTGAGTCTTGGTTACCTTTCTAGCTTTGTCACTAGCCACTCTCCTTTACATACACTGGTTTCCCATCACAGTGTTCCCCAGACCCACCACACTTTCATCATACCCGGAATAACAGATTGTTAGCTGTCCACTGAGTTCCTTTTCTCTTCCTTCTGGGAACACAGCCTTCTCTTGTAGTGGACTGTTGCCATGTGACCAAGTTCTGGTCAGTGGAATATAGAAATGATTGTGCACCGCTTTCAGACCAGGGAAACATTATACACACTACCTTTCACATTTCCTTCTGTAGTGACCTGGGAAGCCTTCAATTGAAGAAGGTTGAGTCCCAAGATGGAAGAAGACCAGCTTATTTATACCCACTTGGAAGAGAGACTCCCATCAAACTTAGTCTTGGATTTGGCTTTATTATTATTATTTTTTAAGACTATTTATTTATTCATGAGAGACACAGAGAGAAAGAGAGAGGCAGAGATATAGGCTGAGGAAGAAGTAGGCTCCCTCTGGGGAGC